AGTGAAATGGAACAAAAGATGTAGAAAAAAAAAATCAGATGTGTATTATTGAGCGAGTTTGCACGCATTGAAACATTATTGACATATATGCACCCTTACATTAACTTAAGTACCTACGCATGCCCTTGATGTCAAGGATCTTCTCATACTCTTCGAGAACGGCATCATCAACATCATCACCGTCACCAAGGTAGTAGCAGTAATCATCATAGGAATCGTCTTCGTACTGCGGAAAGGATAAGGGACGGCAGTATCTACACCTAGGCTTGTAGGGATAACAGTATTTACAACCAGTATAGCCATCGTAGTAGTTGCTCGAGTACCGATCATGGTCATCCATGCTCATCCAGGCAAGCTTTTCTGGTAGGTTATCAAAGGCAATAGGGTTGCACACTGCCATGTTAAGGTACTGTAGGTCATGGCAATTTTCTAGGATAGCTACCAGAACTTCCCTACCGAAGGTACAACCGACAACATCCAAAGAACGTAGTTTGCACATCCTTGGAGCCGCAAATGTTATTGCATAATCAGCATGGCAGTGCTTTCCTAAGACATGTCTGAAGTGCTTTAGCAGTGGGCATGCTGTAGCAACAAGTTCATATACCTCCCTACTATATATTTGGGGACATTTCGAAATCTCGAGCTCCTCAAGTAGAGGTAACATCTTAATCACCGTGGCAAATCCTTCATCTGAGACATAACCCCTATGGAGATGGAGGCACTTTAGCGCAGGTGCCCTGCAATATATGACAAATAAATATTTAAGAATGCAATTAATCAAAGAGAAAGAAATGAAGATGCATCGTAACAACGAGGGACAAACTTTTGGAAGGTTTGGGATATATATTAATTATGGTGTGGCTAGGACTCATCTAGATGTGACATAACTATGTCACATCTAAGCATGACATCACACAACATCAGCAAAAAAACAATTAAAAATATATTTTGTACAAATCTTGAAGCCCCTTGTTATGTGATGGACTATTTAGATGTGACATCCTTAAAAAACATCTAGATGTAAATTAGTCATTTTGTATTAATTAATTAGGAAAAGAAAAGAAGGAAGAAATCTTACTGCTTGGCGAGCAAGAGGAGGATATCGTCGTCGGCGAGATTGGTCAGGAAGGCCTCGCACTGGCCCTGGCTAAGTCGCAGGGCGGCCCGCACCATGGCCTCGAGGCTGAACTTGGGGTGGAATGGCGGGACGAACCACAGGCCGGCGCGGAGATCGATGCAGCGCCACAACTCCGGCTCTTCCCGGGCGGCCCGCCGCCAGGAGCGGCACACGCCCGCCACGCCGCCGAGCAGGAGCTCGGCCTGGTCCAGCTTGTGGAGGATGCAGGAGATAAGGTCCGGGTGCAGCTCCGCCCAGTCCCTCTCCGGCAACAGGACGGGCGTGAACCAGAACACCGACACGTGGTACGTCCGTGTCTTTTTCTTGGATCGACGGCTTCGTGGTGCCACCGCCGCCGCCGCCGGTGACGATGGCATCGTGTGTGCGATGTGAACGATGTGGCGAGCTGGCACTGGCTTCGATATCGACGGATCATGGGATGGTTTTATAGAGTGCGCGCGGTAGTACGTAGGTCGGTTTGCTGACCTGATCACAGCCCGTCTAAAAACGTCGCTGTTATCAGATTATGAGTACGTAACAGATTGCAGATCCACTTTTTCCGTAGCGACTCGGGCGGCTCCCGATCCACTTTTTCGGGCGACCTTCCCCGTGCGTCCTCCCCTCGCCGCCGCTAATGATCACCGCCGGCTTCACTGCCACTTAGTTCTGCCAGCCACTTCTAGTAATTATAAGATTTAAAAAAAATGCACATGCTGTACTGTGGTGTACACATTACAGTTCATGTAATACATATTGTTCATATATGTACATACACATAGCATATAGCTTGGCATGGAGCGCACAAGTTTACATACATCATCATCGATTTATAAATTTTTATAGGCTGTGATAGAGTGCACACACAGATCATCAATGTTCTAAATCGAAAAGAAAGAAAATAAGAACAATGAAAGGGATGAATAGAGTAGACCGCTGCACCTCCTAGTAGCCTCTGCTCACGCATTCTTTTCTAGTTGGATCTCCACCTGCAAAAGAAAAATAATATGAAGCTATGAGTCCATGAACCAAAGCAAAAATGGGCATCAACCAGGTGAGAATGCACCCGATAAACATTACTCCCTCCGTTCGAAATTATTTGTCACAAAAATGGATGTATCTACAACTAAAATACATCTATATACATATTCATTTCTTGGACGAGTAATTCCAAACGGAGGGAGTACATAACATAGGTAACATGTTTTATCTAGAATGAATCTAGAAGAGACGCATATGCAAATTTTAAAGAGTTAAAGTATGCATATTCTAAAGAGTTAATGTTGTGTATACACACTGAAAGAGAAACAACTAGCAGATGCATAAAGGATGTAAAGCATGGCTCGGCAAGTGAACAAGCATAGAAAAATTCCTCACGGATGAGAAACAAACAAACATATGTATAAATAAATAAAAAGTATAACTCAACTACGTTACTACTATGTTGGTAACTTATACACAGCCAAGCCAATGATACTACCATAATTTATATATTGCTTGAACCAAAAAACGGTGATGCGTATTCATTCATTCATAGAAGAAACTGAACGTCCAAAAGGAAAGGAATGCTCAGTTTTAGTTAAAGTTGAACCATGCACATACAAATATAGAAATTGAACCAAAACAGGGGCATGCATGATAGGCTAATTGGTGGTGGCTGCTGTTGCTGTATTGTTATTGTTCTAGCAGCATACTAGCTAGAAATCTAACAAGTACTAGTACTCAAAGAGGAAGAATTTTACTAGAGAAAGGAAATAAAAACAAGGACTCCCTGAGAATATAGACAATGTGAGGTGGCTTAGTGATCCGAACATAGAATTATGCATTCACATAATAACGTTACATACATAGTAGTGGTGAATCCAGGCTCTCCGAGAATGCATTAGCCCAATCGATTTGCTTCCGCGAGAGGCACGGTCATGGCTCTTTGAAAAAGAAAAAGAAAATGTTCCAACGGTTTTTCGTGAAAAAAATTCTTCAAAACCTATTAACATGGGATCTAGTTTTGAAGATCTCGATGCGAGGAATCAAATGGTGAAAACGGTTCAAGATTCGGATGCACGATTTAAGAGATAAAACGTTTTGAATAAACAAATCTACGAAAAAGGTAAAAACTCCCAAGTTGTGACAAGTGACGAACATGCAGTGCGCCACTTGTCGCAACATGGGAGGTGGGAGTGACTCTTACAAAGAGTGCTCCTTAATTAGTGATTTCGAAAGACAGGCGAAAGAGAGAGTGGAGGATGGGCCACAATTCCTGCCTCGGGAACACAAAAGAAGAGTGGTTCTATGGTGGGCTTTAAAATGGCCTTTGGCCCACCAAATCACCAATGATGTATAATGTTGGTTGAAGATATAAAAAGACCGCTGTGAAAAATGTAAAAATAAATATCAATTTTTCGCTTATTTGGCGTTAACTCCATGTTCGTGCATGGCAGTTGCTCAGCGCATACAAAGTTCGTCTATGACCAAAACAAATGGTGCCGACTCCCACCTCTGTGTAGATCCCGCGACCAACCTCCTCTCTTTCCTCATCATGCTGCCTCCATGTGTCGCAAGTCCATCTAGTGCCGCCATACACCATTCCTGTGCAGGAGACATTGCATCGCAGCCAATTCCGGCATGGAGTTCCGCATCACCAACGCGCTCACGTCGAGCTCGGGAGGATATGCAACCAATAGCGGGATAAGAGATGGGGGGTGGGCGAGGAAAGGAGGGGAGATGAGGGACTGGCGGGGGAGGAGACGGTTGGCACGACGCCGGTGTAGCGCCACCGTTTGCCGACGAGAGACGGCAAGTAGAGTCGTTGCGGTCAGGGGTGGTGGCTGCAATAACAGCTGGTTGAGGAAGGATAGTCTACGGTGGTGAGGAAGATAGGGAGGAAGGAAAGCCCGCATTGGCGGCTTGAGTCGGCGACCTGACGAGGATGCCCTTTCTGAGGTCAACTCGGTCAAAACCACCCTTGTTGGCGAAAACTGGCTTAGGCCAAGCTGAGGGTTGAGTCTTGAACGAGATGGAAAGTTGGAGGGTGCGCAATAACTGGTTTCGGGGTTGAGGGCTGAAACTTACACATAGGGTTGAAAAATGGACTTCTCTAAAATATTGTTAGCGGGACAACAAGTTACTCGGAAGATAAAGTACAACTGGATCTTCACAATGTGGTGAGAACGCAATGCACGATCACATTTTCACAAAAATATGTAGGATCAAACAATTCCGTAGTTTTCCTGCATTTGTGATGCAACATACGTAATTGTTGCAAAGCATTTGCGTTGCTTCAGTAGTCCTCCTCTCTTTGTTTTTCTTCAGAAAATGATGGAGTGAATCTTGCACCGTAGACTGCTCTCTTTTGACCGGGGATGGATTGAATCATTGATCTTTTATCTACAGAAGAAATGAATGGCCCACAGAAGCATCTCAGATTCTCTGAGAGCGGCAGTGCGACCACGACTCCATCCGTCGTGCTTGACTTTGACGGATCATGCTTGCTTCTCAAGCATCCTGTCTGTTATCACCATGAGCTGAGGGATCAAAACAAGATGCTCTCGGCTAAATGCACAAACAAACTATAGTGGGAAACACAACACAGGAACAAACTGGATCTGCTGACAAACCTCGCCAGACCCTATAATCCAATTTAGTAAACTCGAGAACAATGAACACCTTCAGCAAAATCAGTGGAGGAGCCATGCTAACTAACAAAAAAAAAAGAATATACGTAGTTCATGCATGGCGCCGCTTGCATCGGATGTTCTGGTAGTTCATCCAGCAGCTACCATCTATGTCTAGACAGAGCAAGAACAGGCATGGCATAGCATAAACATCCATCTACAAGAAGTGGCAACCAACGATCGTCAGATGACTTGTTCCTCCTAATTAAAGAGGATCAGACCCTTGGGCTGCCACCCTCCTTCAGCTTCACGAGCCCAGCCACGGCACTGATATTTTCACTGCAAAACATGCAATACAAACTAATTCAAAACAGAAACAAGCTAGCTGATCCTCACAAGCGGAAGTTATGAATGGCTAAAGAGGATCAGACCGGCTGCTCATTGGGGTGCTGCCCCCCTCCTCCTTGACCGTGATCTGACAATTGTTAGGCAAGAACTGGTTAAACTGGCGGATCAGCTGAGGGTGTCCTTCTAATGCCTTTTCCATGGCACTGGCCGAATAACGAATTCTGCAAAACTAAAAGGATCACCTTTAATCCATCATAACTCAAAACAGAAAGAATCGGTGCTGTAGATGCTACTGCCCATGCATCACCGACCTATAGGTCCTGAAAATGCGCAAGAAATTGACAAACTCCTTGTGCTTGTCAGGTTGGTCTGCCAAGCTGTCGTTCACAAGCCTGACGTAATTGCCCCAGTGGCCGGTACCCTCCAGACAACGCTTGCCATTGACAATACACAGCTTTCGTGAGCGCAGCGGCTTTGGAGCCATCCTATTCAAGTAGTGCTTTCTTGGGATCGATCTTCACAAACAAGGCGATCAAACATAGGAAAACATCAAAAAACAAGGACATTTGATCAGATTTACAACAAGACAACAGAATTTATTTGTCAAAAACTCAAAATGCGACAAGTCAACTGCTGCTTGCATGAGAAAATCAGAAAGAAGAACCCAGAAAGAACAGTTGCTTTAAAGCGTGTTCTGTTTTTTGTATTAACGATATATAGAAAACACTTGCTGTTGCCTGTTTGCTTACTTTCTGTAACAGGGTACACAGTTATCTCCTCGATTGACAAGATATCGTGAAACATGTATTCATTACTTCTGCCACAAACATCAGACTATCTATTGACAATAATGTGGTCACTCGACCATCTCTGTTTGTAAGTACTTTTCCCAATTGGGTTTTAGCTCTGATACAACTAAAAAAAATCTGGATTCAAAAGTGACCAACAGAATTCAATCTCTAACCCCCCCCCCTCCACCCTCCCACACACACCTCCTCAAAAATGTGAACCGATGTAATTAATTTCGTTAGCTCAACAACAACAACAACAAAGCCTTTAGTCCCAAACAAGTTGGTGTAGGCTAGAGGTGAAACCCATAAGATCTCGCGACCAACTCATGGCTCTGGCACATGGATAGCAAGCTTCCACGCACCCCTGTTCATAGCTAGTTCTTTGGTGATACTCCAATCCTTCATGTCTCTTAACGGACTCCTCCCATGTCAAATTCGATCTACCCGGCCCTCTCTTGACATTCTCCGCATGCTTTAGCCGTCCGCTATGCACTGGAGCTTCTGGAAGCCTGCGCTGAATATGCCCAAACCATCTCAGACGATGTTGGACAAGCTTCTCTTCAATTGGTGCTACCCCAACTCTATCTCATATATCATCATTCCGGACTCGATCCTTCCTCGTGTGGCCACACATCCATCTCAACATACGCATCTTCGCCACACCTAACTATTGAACATGTCGCCTTTTAGTCGGCCAACACTCAGCGCCATACAACACTGCAGGTCGAACCGCCGTCCTGTAGAACTTGCCTTTTAGCTTTTGTGGCTCTTTCTTGTTCACAGAGAATGCCAGAAGCTTGGCGCCACTTCATCCATCCGGCTTCGATTCGATGGTTCACATCTTCATCAATACCCCCATCCTCCTGCAGCATTGATCCCAAATATCGAAAGGTGTCCTTCTGAGGCACCACCTGCCCATCAAGGCTAACCTCCTCCTCCTCACACCTAGTAGTACTGAAACCGCACATCATGTACTCAGTTTTAGTTCTACTAAGCCTAAACCCTTTCGATTCCAAGGTTTGTCTCCATAACTCTAACTTCCTATTTACCCCCATCCGACTATCGTCAACTAGCACCACATCGTCCTCAAAGAGCATACACCATGGGATATCTCCTTGTATATCCCTTGTGATCTCATCCATCACCAAGGCAAAAACATAAGGGCTCAATGTTGACCCCTGATGCAGTACTATCTTAATTGGGAAGTCATCAGTGTCGACATCACTTGTTCGAACACTTGTCACGACATTATCATACATGTCCTTGATGAGGGTAATGTACTTTGTTGGGACTTTGTGTTTCTCCAAGGCCCACCACATGACATTCCGCGGTATCTTATCATAGGCCTTCTCCAAGTCAATGAACACCATATGCAAGTTCTTCTTTTGCTCCCTGTATCTCTCCATAAGTTGTCGTACCAAGAAAATGGCTTCCATAGTCGACCTCCCAGGCATGAAACCAAACTGATTTTTGGTCACGCTTGTCATTCTTCTTAAGCGATGCTCAATGACTCTCTCCCATAGCTTCATTGTATGGCTCATCAGCTTAATTCCATGGTAATTAGTACAACTCTACATATCCCCCTTGTTCTTGAAGATTGGTACTAATATACTCCGTCTTCATTCTTCCGACATCTTGTTTGCCCGAAAATTAGGTTGAAAAGCTTGGTTAGCCATGCTATCGCTATGATCCCAAGGCCTTTCCACACCTCAATGGGGATACAATCAGGGCCCATCGCTTGCCTCCTTTCATCCTTTTTAAAGCCTCCTTGACCTCAAACTCTTGGATTTGCCGCACAAAACACATGTTGGTCTCATCAAAGGGGTCGTCCAGTTCAATGGTAGAACTCTCATTCTCCCCATTGAACAGCTTGTCCAAGTACTCCCGCCATCTATGTGTAATCTCCTCGTCCTTCACCAGGAGTTGGTCTGCTCCGCCCTTGATGCATTTGACTTGGCCAATATCCCTCGTTTTCCTCTCTCGGATCTTGGCCATCTTATAGATGTCCCTCTCGCCTTCCTTCGTGCCTAACCGTTGGTAGAGGTCCTCATATGCCCGACCCCTTGCTTCACTGACAGCTCGCTTTGCCGCCTTCTTCGCCATTCTGTACTCCTCTATGTTGTCTGCACTCCTATCCAGGTATAGGCGTCTGAAGCAATCTTTCTTCTCTTTAATCGCCTTCTGGACATCATCATTCCACCACCAGGTATCCTTATCTTCGCTTCTCCTTCCCCTGGACACTCCAAACTCCTCCGAGGCCACCTTACAAATGCAAGTCGTCATCTTCATCCACACATTGTCCGCATCCCCTCCTTCCTCCCAAGGGCCCTCCTTAATGACCCTCTCCTTGAACGCACGAGCTACCTCCCCCTTGAGCTTCCCCCACTTCGTTCTAGCGACTTTGGCACGCTTATCCCGCTGGACATGAATCCAAAAGCGGAAGTCAACAACCACCAACTTATGCTAAGGTACAACACTCTCCAAGTATCACCTTACAATCTAGGCACGCACGCCTATCTTCTCTTCTCGAGAGGATGAAATCAATCTGGCTAGAGTGTTGGCCACTACTAAAAGTCACCAGATGTGATTCTCTCTTTCTAAAGAGGGTGTTAGCTACAATCATGTCGTAGGCTAGAACAAAGCTTAAGACATCTTCTCCTTCTTGATTCCTGATCCCATAGCCAAAGCCCTCATGCACTCCTTCAAAACCTGTGTTAGATGTATCCACGTGGCCATTGAGGTCTCCTCCTATGAAGAGCTTCTCGCCAATCGGTACACTCCTAACCATGTCTTCCAGGCCTTCCCAGAACTCCCTCTTGGTGTTCTCATTATGGCATACTTGCGGGGCATACACACTGATAACATTGAGAACTAAGTCCCCAACTACCAGCTTGACCAGGATAATCCGGTCCCCACGTCTCTTGACGTCTACCACTCCATACTCGAGGCTCTTGTTGCTCAAGATGCCTACGCCATTTCTGTTTGCAGTCATCCCCGTGTAACACAGCTTGAAGCTGGTACCCTCCACCTCCTTCGCCTTCTGTCCTCTCCATTTGGTTTCTTGGACGCAAATGATATCAACACCTCTCCTCACCGCTGCATCAACTAGCTCCCGAATCTTCCCTAACAGAGACCCTACGTTCCAGCTACCTAAGCAAATCCTCCTAGACTCGGCTAGCTTCCTTACCTTTCGCACTTGTCGAGTCAAATGCAAAAACCCTTGCTCATTTTCCACTACATCCGGGCGCCAATGTAGCGTGCCAAGGAAGCGACGACCCGATACTCACTCACTTGCCACCGTATCCAGATCAAGATACAACGCGCCACCAGGCGGGTGACGGCCCAACCCTTGCCCATTTGACACCACACCCGGGTTCCGATGTGGGGCGTCGCTGAGAGGGTTACGCCCCAACGAAAAATCTTTTTGAGTTTCATCTCCATAAGAGTGGCTGAGTTTTTACATTGGCTCGCCAAGCCTATCACAACCCTCCCCCTTTACCCAAGCATGGTACCGGCTATGTTGATACAACATAGGTGGAGTTAAATTAATTTCGTTAGATCATCTGACTTAAATTACTACCTGATTGTTTCACCTCTCCAAGGAGAGAGAAAGTTCTACGTACGATAGAATTCATTGGGGTGGGCCAACAGTCTGAATTTAACTAAAAAATGGAGTTGGGTCTTTCAAAGGTATTGGAGGGAGTACACACTCTGCAAACCACATTATAAAAAGTAAACTTTGCAGCAGAAGTTGAGTACTTACTGACAAATTTTACTTTGATTATTGCTGTTGGCGACCTGGGCATTACAAGCATCTCTCTTTCTCTTGGGCTTCAAGAGAGGCTTTTGAACTTGATTATTGCTTCTACTCTGCAAATCATCATCATCACTTCTACTCTGCTCATCACAATTGTCATCGCTTCTACTCTGCTCGTCACCATCCTCATCACTTCCACTCTGAACATCATCATCCTCAACACTTTCACTCTGCTCATCATCCTAATTAGAAAATAGATTGGTTAGTTAAAGCCCACAAAAATAACTCATAAGAGACCAATAAATGGAAAACATTATAAAAAACAAAGTCTGAATCATTTCAAAGGTAGTGTTGAATAAGCAGATCCTGGAAATCAAAACTCAAGTTGGTGGTACTGCAACAAGATGAGAGACCCTACCCTAGAAATTTGGTACCATGTGAGCCGGTGGCTAACACCCTCACATCCGCCAAGAGTGAGTTGAGAGACAGGTGAGGATCTTTTTCTTTTTACATGGGTGGGTGCATATGGAGGAAGCACAAAATACACAAGTGGGGGAGGGAGTGAAGGAGGGGATAAGGGTAGAAAAATTGCAAACGTAATTAGCACCTGATATGTAGCCTTTGG